AAATCCAGCTTGAACATCTGGGAGTTCTCAGTTCACATGCTGTTGAAGCCTAGCTTGGAGATTTTCAGCATTAATTTGCTAGCAAGAGAGTTGAGTACATTTGTGAGGTAGTTTGAACATTCTTTGGCATTGCCTTTCTTTGAGATTGGAATGAAAACTGACCTTTTCCAGTCCTGTGGCCAGTGCTGAGTTTTCCAGATTTGCTGTCATATTACGTTGAGGGAAGGCAAACATGTGTCACTGGCAACTCAAAATCTTAGGGATAGGAGTACCAAGAAACTCCCAGAAAAGAAAGTTCAACTAGTATATGTATAAGAGGATCAGAATATAGATCCATGTCAATAGTTCATCCTACTATTTAGTACATCACTGGATTATAATTTTGCTTCCTAAATATCTTTGAAATCCAACTATTTCATCTCTATTACCATTATCCTAATCCAAACTATCACAATCTCTTTATTACTGCAATAGCCACTTAAATGCTTCCCATGATTCACATTTGTTACTTTTCAATGTATTTTTTGCCAAGCAAGCAGAGTTATGTTTCTAAAAGACAAATCTGATTGTTCCCTTCTTCTGCTTAAAATCTTTCAGTTGTTTCATTTTACTCTTTTTAAGATCTTATCAGGGTCTACAAGATTCTGCTTGATTGATTCATCACCTACCTTTTCTCCTTGATCTCACAAGATTCTCTAGCCCCATGCACTCTAGTGACATCATCCCTCATTTCCTATAAGTAGACGTTCTCAGCACATTTATAACAGAAAAATGAACTGTTAGGTAGACTCTTCCACCATTGAAATTCCCCAGATCCTTTATTTCAGTTGGGAATTTTTTTCTCAAGTTCATCACCCGCATGCCTTTGGACAGCTTCCTTCAGCTATAATCCTTTCACTGGCGTTTTCTTTCAGCTTTCTTCCCTCCTGCTTTGTTACTTCACCACAGTTAGAACAAAACCATTGCCACTCTAGGCCACTTAGGGTCCTGTCACTATTTCTTTAAATTGTGGCAAAGTATACATAAAATAAAATTGTGTATCTTAATTATTTGTTAAGTGTACCATTCAGTAGTGTTAGTATATTAACATTGCTGTACAACCAATCTCCAGAACTCTTTCAACTTGCAGACCCCAACCTGTGTACCTATTTCCAACTTTCCATTCTCTAATCCTCTCGATTACTATTTTACTTACTGCCTATATGAATTTGACTACTCTAGTTATCTCAAGTAAGTAGAATTGTATAGTGTCTGTCCTTTTGTGATTAGCTGATTCACTTACGTCCTCAAAGTTTATCCACACGGAAGCATATGTTAGGATTTCCTTCCTTTTCACAGCTGAGAGATATACCATTGTGTACGTAACACATCTTGTGTCTTCTCTTCTGTTGACGGACACTTGGGTGGCTTTTGGCTACTGTGAGCAGTGCTGCTGTAAACATAGATGTAAAATCTCTCTTCAAACGCTGCTTTCACGTTTTGTGTGTTTATACCCAGAAATGGACTTGCTGGATCGTATGGTCATTTTATATTTAGTTTCTTGAGGCATCACCATACTGTTTTCCATAGTGGCTTCATGATTTTATATTCCCACCAATAGGGAAGAGGAGGTCCAATTTCTCCACACTCTTGCTAACATCTGTTCTGTTCTTTTGTTACTAACCATTTTAGTGGGTGCAGGGTGTTATCTCACCGTGATTTTGATTTGCATTTCCCTTATGATTAATGGTGTTGAGCAGCTGTTTCTGTGCTCATTGGCCATTTGTTTATCTTCTTAGAATAAATGTTTATTCAAGTCCTTTGCTTCTTTTCAGATTGCAGGGGTTTTGTTGTTGAGTTTAAAGAGCTATCCATATATTCTGGATATTATTCTGAGTACTTATCAGAAACATGATTCACAAATATTTTCTCAGATTCCATAGGTTACCTTTTCACTCTTTTAATTGTGTCTTCTGATGCAAAATTTTTATTTTGATGTTATCCAATTTATCTATCTTTACTTTCTTCACCTGTGCTGTTGGTGTCATTTCCAATGAGTCTTATTGTTTTATACTGGAATCAGATATAGATAAAACAAGAAATGGGAAATATTGAGTTTAAAAGAACAAAAAGTTTCCACATAGAGTCAACATTGATGCCTACTTTATCCGTAACTATACAGTCTTATTTTTCTTGGAGCTCTTATACTCTGCTTTTTTTCCATAATGCAATATAAACATGTGGTTCAAACCTATAGGCATTTTCCTTCTATATATTGTCGAGTCTTACCTCTGATAGAATATTCAATCCTGCCAACATTCCTTCTTTGACAATATTTCTGTCAATTTTAAATCTGAATTACCCCTTGGCTTCAGCTGTGCTGCTGTGCTCGACTCTATGGTGGTGTTTCTTACTGAAAGGAGAAAAGACTCCTCTGGGATTTCTCATGCACACCTTCCCACACAGCCCACTAGTTGAGAATCACAGCTGTAAGGAGCCAACAGCCTTTCTTCCTGCACACCACTGCTGATCTCATGACTCACTTTCCTCTCTGGGCTCCAAAGAGATTCTCCATGTTGATTGGAGATCAGCCCATAATGCTGATTTGATCCTTCCCTTTTTTCTTTCTTTTTTTCCTTAATATTTATTTGGCTGCGTCTAGTCTTAGTTACAGCATGCAGAATCTTTTAGTTGTGGCAGTTGCAGCTTGCAGGATCTTTAGTTGTGGCATATGAACTCTCAGTTGCAGCATGTGGTTTCTGGTTCCTTAGTAAGGGATCAAACCTGGTCCCCTTGCAGGGGTAGCCCAGAGTTTTAGCCCCTGGATCACCAGGGAAGTCCTTCCCTTTCTTTTTTAAAGAACGTTTCTGTGGGTTCTCTCATGAGGTAATCGAATTTCTCTGATGTCTGGCTTCTCTTTCATCCAACCTAATGCATCTGGGCCAGACAGAACCAAAGCATCACACCCAAACTGGCATCATTCAGTAGGCAACCACCTGAGGGGTAGGTGAGTAAGGTGGTAGAGCAATAGCAATGAAGGCGCATCTAAGTGGCAGTGAAATGGCTTCCCAATCAGAAAAACAGGTTAGACTTAAATGGCACCTCCAGCTACCCAGGTGCCCAGGTGAGGACCTGAATGCCATCTTAACTCCTTTCTTCACAGACCTTTGTTGGCAAAGTAATGTCTCTGCTTTTTAATATGCTGTCTAGGTTGGTCATAACTTTCCTTCCAAGGAGCAAACGTCTTTTAATTTCATGGTGGCAGTCACCATCTGCAGTGATTTTGGAACTCCCAAAAATAAAGTATTTACCTCCTCAATACTCCTTAAATTCATTTATTTCCATCCATTTCCCCTATTAGTAACTCAATTCAGGCCAACGCCATCTCTCATTACAGGCTTTTCTTTTCATGCCCTTTTGCAGTGTAAGACAGGAAAACAGATTTTCCCTCTACCATTCTGAGTTCTTGGTTAAAAACAGATTAACAAGAGAAAAACAGTTTATTAACACTATGCTGCATGTATACACTGGAGATAACCAGGAAAAAAAAAAGGGTAAAACTTTCTGAGATGGACCAAGCCACTACTTTAAATACCATCCTCAACTAAATACAAAGGAAAGATTTGGGGAGTAGGGAGTGGGGAAAAGGTAATTTACAGGAAGGTGAGAGAAGGAAATGTTTAGTCAGCAAAAATTTCCCTGCTGGCAGATAAGTCTCAGGTTTAAAAGTTTTATCTGGTAAAGCTCTCTTCCAGGTAGAGGTCCCCTTTCTAATGTAAATTTTCTTTATGAATGTAGATTTCCCTTACAAAAACCTAACTTCTACTCTGTTTTCAGAGCTTCTGCTGTGTTTGCAGTTTTCAAAAAAAAAAAAAACAGCTCAAAGTAACTCAATATGTCAGAGATATAGTAGGGTGGCATATTCAGGTGTCAGTACCAAGATCCTGATTACAGACAAATCTGATTTCACTTCTTTTACAATAATATACTAACCCACCTACTGAACTCCCACTTTGTGTGAAGCTTTACACTAGGGACAATTCGCACATTACCTCATTTTATTCAACCCTCCAAAAATCCTATGAGGAAGGATTATCAGTCCCACTTTACAGATGAGGAAAATAAGGCTCAAAGAAGTAACTTGTCTAAGATGGTTCCATGCCCAGTGGAAGCAAAATTTAAATCCAGCTCTGACTTCCAAATCTACTTGATTAGAAACACGTACCTGTGATGTATGTCTTGCTGTCAAATGACAAAAATAATACAACTTGGTAATGAGGTTGATGTTCTTTTTTCAAGGAAGAACAGTTCATGGGTTGGTGGAGCCCAGTGCCTGGCAAGCAGCAGAGCACCCTTCCTGAGAGATTTTGGGCAAGTGCTATTTTTATAGGGATTAGAAGAGGCAAGGCAGGAATGGCATGATTGGCTAGGAGGTCAGGAATTACCTTCTAAGGTAAGCAGATCCTATTTTCTCGGGCAAGGTAAGCTAGCTAAACTGAATTGGAGCATTGTGATGGGTTTAAGTTAGGTTTTCTGGACAGACCAGGCTGACTTAGGTTTAGATTTGTGACATGGGACAGGCCACTGGGGCAGCCTCCATTTTGTGCATCCTGATAATATGAATTAACTTTATCATGCCCCTAAACAGTATACAACTCAAAATCTGGACTAAATGGAAAAAACAAACAAAATTTTTTCTAGGTCCAGAGACCCAAATCCCATCTGTTAGCATTATACTTTTGACCTGCTTGTTTCTCTTTCTACTTGGTCTACACGAAGGGCTGGCAAAGTATGGATCACAAACCATAGTTTGCCTCCTGAGTTCAGAATGGTTTTTACATGTTGTGGTACTGTATTAGAAACATGTATCTGGTCTTCATCCCCATCTCTGGCACAGAACTCTTAATAGTTTATAATATTGAGAAATTGGAAAAAAAACTTAAATATTGGAAACTAGTTTATATTATAGTGAGTAACTTTTGATATACCCAGAATATAGAATATGACAAAGCCATAAGAAATTAAGCCATAGAAGAATATTTATTGACATGGGAAAATGTTAACAATATACCTCTATATGAAATATGCAAGATACAAAACAGTATATACAGTTTAATACCATTTTTATGGAAAGAAAAATAACCATATATACAAAATCATGCATAGGAAAAAAATAGAAGGATGTGCATACCAAATGTTAATAACGTTATCTCTAGACAGTGGAATTACAAGTGGCTATACAATTTTCACAATAAATTTTACCTGCCTTCCAAACAGTATCTGCTTCAAGCTATTCTTTCTTGGTTGTGATCAATTTGATATAATTTCTCTTCAAATAGGCTCTGTATCATGATCTATACCTCCAAATCATACTGCTGTTCCCATTTAAAAAGTAGATGCTACTTGCTCTTTCATACTGGCATATGGAGAATATTTTTAACTAACACAATATACTATAAAATATGCCACAGTATAGATCTGGCTATAGAAAATTATTATTTGGAGAATTTGAAAACCTTCTAATCGAGAGAAATTTTAAATAGACAAAAAGATACTATAACTAGTTAGGGGTCCATAATGAAGAGTGAAATAACTCAGGTTCCATAACTGGAGACTTTTGGATCTCTCCTTTTTACTAGCTGACTTTGGGCAAAGGATATTAGAGTTTTTCAGTCTGGAAAATGTGGTTAATAAAAGAAGCAAAAATAAGTTGTTGGTTTGTTTTTTTTTTTAAGTAAGGGAAAATGGGATCAGAGATTAAAAGGTTTTTCTATAAAGACCTAAATAAATGTTAGATTAAAACAGCTAGAAAAAAAGTCAAATTTGGTGTTGCAGAAAAATTAACTCACATTTTTCTGTAGCACCAGTTCTTACTGTTTTTTATCTTCTTTGACAGGTTTTGACATGCCAAAACTGTGACATCATTTTAATGTTTAATTCATAGCCATTAAGTTCTATATTTTAACAGTTAATACATAAAACATACTTTTTCATGGAATTTGAGGTAAATGTTTTAAATAAATATGGGTTACAACAACTAAACACACTGACAACAAATGTAATTTAGATTTTACCTCTCAGAATCCATTCTAGGGTAAAGCAGTTGACTAAATTCTAATTAAAAATACTAAGTCAAGATGTTGGATCTTCTAAAAGTAAAACATTAGAGAACAGGAAAAAAAAAACAATGTGTCCACTTTTCTTTGATGTTTTCCATGCTCCAGCACCATTTCAAACTGCTTCCTTATTTCTGTTTCCTCTCTTTGGAAGAGAATTTCAGGCAAATCTGTGACTAATTAATAATTTTTAATAGTTGCTTATAACTATTATCTGAAAGGGAATAGTTAATGGCTTATAATACCTCACAGATAAATTTATTTTCTAAATGCCTAGTAGTAAATTGTACAACTTGCAAATAAAAAAAAGCAACTTTTATTAAAAAACTGATGAAAGGAAGATTTTATAAGAATGGGGGGGAAAAAAAGAGGGATTTTCTCAGTTTTTCCCATCAAAGATTCATTCCTTCTCTCCACAAATCATGAAGTTGAGAAAGATAGCTGGAGCTTGAATAGGAAAAGTGCACCACATTTACAGAACTACACAACACACTGTACTCTGCACCACTGGTGTCCTGCCACCTCTATGCCATTCCGGAAATGTCCCATTAACCCAGCACAGCTCCAGTTCCTCAGTGAAGATCACAAGAAAACCTCTTCCAGGCTGTTAGAAGAAACCAGACTATCACACCGATATACTTCAGCGGTGGGAGGAGACTACTGGCTCACCGTATTCATTGCTTAACGGTACAAGAATTAAACAAAAAAGGAGAGACTAGAAAATCACTTTGAAAATTCACAAACACCAATTTGCAACAGAAAATTGAGGCATGACACTTAAGCTAACAAATCTGTTAGATGAATTATCACTTCAGCACATTAACTGCAGGTGTATACTCCTGGATTTTCACTTAATCCACTACTCCATGATGAACACTATAAAATGAAAGGTGACAGATTTATGAACTAAAATCACAAGAAGAAACCCTTGAAGATCAATCTTCAATGAGCCCCTACTCCAATAAACCATAAAGAGCAGTAAAAGGTAATACTCACTTAACAAAATGAGAATCCCAATGACGAGAAATCAGGTACTTATATTCCTCTAGAGACACTTCTTCCCCACCTAACAAAGGCACTTGACATGTAATGATATGCACAGTTAACTCAGGTACTGCCCTGGGCAACTGTTACCTTTCTAAAATTAGATGCAGTGGTGATTAACTTCAAATTAATCCTTCTGAATCAGCCTGAAACACACATGAAAATATCACAAGTTCTCTATTTCGGCAGATGATATAACCAAAGAACAAAAGATATGCTGGTGTTCACAATGAATTGGCTGACTTGAACAGTCCAGGATTCTCCTCTGCACAATATTCTTGGATGACTGTGGAATTTGTATATAATTATAGGCAAATTAACCTTTCATATAGTTTCAGATGTTAATGTTCACTCCTCTTCTTGTCTTTTCTTACTTTTTTGTTCTTTCCCAAAGCCTTAGATGATTCCTCCTGAAAAAGACATAAATTAATGTAGTATCTTCCTACACTTAGGAATCTTAAATACAGTCATACAGAAATATGCAGAATAGTGAAAGTGTAATTACTTCCATTTGTATCATCTTTCCGTTTTACAGGGCTCTTTCACTTACCACAGTTTATTTTAATATTTCCAAAACAATCAAGGATAATCAAAGAAAACATTTACCTCAGCCATCTAACATTTATATTCGAGTAATTTCAATATTATTTATAAGTTTATTTTTGGGGGGGGCTTCCCTGGTGGCTCAGACAGTAAAGAATTTGCCTGCAGTGCAGGAGACCCTAGGTCAGGAAGACCACCTAGACAGGGAATGGCTACCCACTCCAGTATTCTTGCCTAAAGAATTTTATTATTTTCTGTGAATGTATATATTTTGGCCATGCTGCACAGCTTGAGGGACTGAACCCATGTCCCTGCAGTGGAAGCCTACAGTCCTAACCACAGGGCCCCTAGGGAATCCCCCTTAACGTTTTTTAATCTATTGTTCAGTTTCCAAAGTAAGGCAGCAAAATTTAAATGAATTAGATATGAACGTATCTGAAATATGAGACAAAAACCTCAAAGTATAAAAGAAGAAGGCATCTAAAGGCATACCAGGGAAAAGGGGATATACTTTGACACTAACAGAGAATATTAGAATTTTATGGATGTTTAAAGACCATCCAGTTAACTGTAGCATTAGCTACAACTTCTTACGGGCCTCAATTTTAGGGAGTGGAAACTGATTGGTCTTTAAGGTTTTTATAAAACCCCATGAATCTAAGAAATTAAGGTCTGAAGAGATGAACCAACCTGCCCAAGATCACACAACTAATCAATCACATTGTTCTGACCAAAACCTAAGCCTCTAATTTCCTAGTTCAAAGGTTCTTCCAATATACGTCACTCATTCTAATTCACTCTTAATTTTCTTTTTCAATGTTTTCTTTCAATATCACAGGCAGTAGTGAGAAACTCTCTAGATACAATATCAGTAACCACTTACCGGTGAACTTGTGTAGTTCTTCTCCACTAGAATGTTTCTAGCACAGTTGTTGATATGTTTGAAGCGATCTGGTCCTAGCAGAATCCCTCCATACCAGCGTGATACCACCACCATGACATTTCTCACATTCAAAATCTGTTATTGTCAGAAGCATAATTATGTATAGATACGGACAAGTACAAATGTGAGTTTTAAAGAAAAATGAAAAAAAAAAATATATATATATATATGAAATTGCACATAAAATTTCCCCCTGACTTTAATAGCATAACCATGAGTGAGCAGAGTGAGATGAGTAACAACTGAGGGGACAGACGTTAGAATGAGAAGAGAATTTGGAAAACAAACTCTGTGGTCCATAGTGTCCTCAAATTCCAAACCTGGGGGCCACGAGTCAGAGTGAAGGGGAGGTCATGCAGTAGGTTCCAGTTCTTGGTAACTTCAACCAGAATAGCTGAGCTTAGGCAGTTTTCTACTCCTACGTCAAACAGCAACACAAAACCTGCTTCTGAACAAACCGCCAGACAGAACTGAGGCTGTATGAGTAATCGTTGGTGCCTGCCAGTAAGGTCTTCCTCAGTTTGACATTTGTCAAACGTTGCCCTTAACACGAAGCCCACCAGTCTACAGGCCTGACCCCCGCAAAGTTCCTATCAAGCGAAGGGCCTGGTTAGAAAACAAACCTCTACATACAACGGCAGAAGAAACTATAGCAGCTACCTTAGGGGAAAAATCCAATCCATTCTTAAAATTAATGAACAATCAATGATCACCAGATAGATGAAGAAAATCCAGCAGCATGAAAAGAAAGGACAAGATAAACAAACTAAAATGGACAAGGAGAAATTTAAGGAAGAAAACATCTGAAGAAAGAAACTCTAATTAGTAAACTCAGAAAAATTTTAGAAGACACTGCATTCATAAAAGCAGAACAGCAAGCACACTATGAAAAGGGAAAAACAGAGAACAAGAAAGAACTCCTGAAAATTAAATATGGTTGCTAAAAAAAAAAAAAAAATTTATTCAACAGAAATTTTGGAAGACAGTTAAGAAAATGTCTCAGAACATAAAGCAATGAAATGAACAACTTAATAAAAAAAGAAACATTCTGGAGCTATCCAGAAGTCCAATATCCAACTAACATGAGTTTTACAAAGACAGAACAAAGAAAACAGAGGAGAGGAAACTGTCATGAAGAAAAAAGGATAAGTTTTCCCAGAGCTGAAGATAATCTTCTATTGTCTATCATTGGAAGAGCTTGAAAGCACAGCTGCTGCCGCCGCCAAGTCGCTGCAGTCGTGTCCGACTCGGTGCGACCCCATAGACGGCAGCCCACCCGGCTCCCCCGTCCCTGGGATTCTCCCGGCAAGAATACGGGGGTGGGTTGCCATCTCCTTCTCCAATTGAAAGCATAGCACAAGTTATTAACCTTTTGCTTTGTGCCCCATATCCAGTGGTTAAAATTATCTCTCAATCAATGTTTAAAAATTATCTACTAATAAAACCAAATATGGCTCGTTACATATCATATAACTGTTTGCTTATTCCTAAATGGAGCTCTGTTTGGTTGAGAAATTTTACGGCTCACAGAACAGGACTGGCAGGGTTTAACTCACACTTACCTCCATGAGATGGAGAAGGCGCCCACCAGCTGCTGTTTCCCCGTCATCCTCACAGTCCTGTAAGAAGGTCTGCTTATCCTCACAGTATATTCTAGAAACCCATATAACAGTGTTATACTTTGAAACCTTGAAATACTGTAATAAAAGTTATACCCCTTCATACTTGTTGCCATCAATTTACTTCCAAAATTAGCATATTTATTTTAAAAAATCTTTCTTGATATATATTGGTTATATTTTCACTGATGATTTACTATCCAACATGCTTCCTTTTTTATATTCCGGAAAGCTAAAATCAAGAGTACTTCCTTTGAATCAGAAATGCTACAATTTCAGAAGGTGAGCTTACACATCTGACACTCTCTCTGCTTCATTTAATCTTGAAGCTGAGATTAGAGAGAGTAGTCACTAAAAAACGTTTACTGAGTCAGCTGTCTGAATATTACATGTAAGAGGCACTAACAAATGATATAAAGGAAACAGGTGGTATACTGTCATCAAAGAGCCTAAGCTCTAGTGAAGGAGACAAAAAGTACATTAAAAAAGATGGAGGTGAAAAAATCAACCTAAGTCAATATTTTATACTTTTCTAACATCTTATTCTAGCCACGAAGCATTTATCTTCCCCACTATAAGAATTATAAGATTTATTTTTCTCCATAATTTCCCCCTGGATAGTTATCAGTATCAGAAATAAATCACAGAATTTTTACCCATTTAAATTATCTAGAAAGTTAGCATCTAGAATAATAAATAGGGCTACACTGTAGTTGAATAAGCTTGGCAAGTAAGTAAGAGGTATAAAAAGAAAACAGTCCCAGTTAAGATATGCCATCTAGTGGATTTTTTAGGCCCCTTTACAAATGGTAATATTCTATCTAGGACTAAGCAAATATAGCAAAGATTATCTTTCCAGTTATTGTGATAAAAAGCCAAATACTACCTTATCTATAAACCTAAGTCAACTTTATTAGTTTTATTATACCAATCATATTCATTCATTCATCCATCCATCTTTCCATCTACAAATCCATTTATCCATCCACCAATCCATTTATTCATTCATTCACTCAGTAAATATTTACTGCCCAGTTTTTTTTTTGGGTTGGGAAGATCCCCAGGAGGAGGAAATGGCAACCCACTCCAGGGTTCTTGCCTGGAAAATTCCACGGACAGAGGAGCCTGGCAGGCTACAGTCCATGGGGTCACAAAGTGTCGGCTAAGACGGAAGCCACTGAGCACGCGCGCATGCACACACACACACACTCTGAACCAAGCTCACTATTATTTAGAGTTGGCCTCATTTCAAGAAGAGAAAGTTAGTACTATTAAACAAAATTTTATGTAGCAAATTTAAGGTAAAAAGGAGTCAGGGATTGACTTTAAGGAACAAAAGAAGAAATTAACTATATAAACAAAAACTATATTAACAGTTTTTTTAAAAAAACTTTTTTAAAAAAGAAGTACCATGGACATTTTCACTAACCCTTTCCTCACATGCCAGGAAGACAATGATGCAGCATCCGATACCTGTGTGGACCAATGGCCTGAAGAGTGCCCCATAACTCCAAAGCAGGAACACAGCCCCAGAACCAGGAAGTAACCTTAAAAGGACCCTAAGCATTCAAAACACACAACACAAAGTCCATGGACCACATACAAGTTATTTCTTTAACTCCCAGTGGAGACCTTTAAGCCTCCACTTTGTGCCTTTTTAGTCTTCTCTGACACACAATTCTGACAAGCTACACTCCTTCATTCCCAAATATCAATTATATAAGGGGGGATTTGGAGGGGCTGCTATATGCAGTCAGCTGACATCTGTGAGAAGTGATAGCTGATCACCATCAATATGCAAAAATACTCAAGTACTTAAACCTGGGGCTTGAAATACAGTATCTGGCACATTATTTAACTTTTAGATAACTTAAAATCAATATCATGTCCAGTGACTGTTGAAGGGGCAGCCACACAGCCATGTATTAATAGGAATAACAGAGATAAATAACACTAAATTCTCAAGTTCAGCTCTACCACTTAAGAACGATGTGATCTTGAAAAAGTTCACCTTTTTACAGTGGCACAGTCACTTAAATAATTAGAATTAACTCATGTAAAGTACATGGCACAGAGTAGGCACTCAATAAAGACGCAAACTAAATGAATGGTACCTATTAACACTTTCACAGCACGTTCTAACCACCGAGAGCAAGCACAGTCTAATCTCTCCTTTTTATATTGATGACCCTAACTCACTAAAACACCAAAATTCTACACCCTGATACTCTAATAAGTAGGGAAATATGTAACAAGTAGGTTTTTGGAAGATTTGGCATTTAATGGGATGTGACTTAATAATATTAAAAACTCACCAATCAAAAGTGATCTTTTTTTTTGAGTTTTCTGAATTTTAGATAGCCTAGATTTTACAAATAGTGTCAGTCACATTTTACGTTTACACCGAATTCCTATGTCTATACTCTGATCTATTTTGGTCCTAAACTATGTTCTGTTAAGTCTGTATAAATTTGAATATTTAAAAAAAAATACACCCTTCATCTCTTTACAACAAATTTTGCAGAGATTTATATAAAACCTTCATACTCAAAGATGTGTAGTGAAAGAAACACTCTAAATTCACTGCTAACGGGAGCATAAATTGGTTTAAAAGAAATTCAAAAAAATTTTGGCAATACGGATTAAGAATTTCAAAAATGTTCACATTTTTTGATAATTCTACTTCCAGGAATCTATTCATTTTTTTCCTTTTTAACTATACTTCTGCTTCATTTCAAAAAAGAATATCAAATAACCAGAACCTATCCTGAGGAAATAATCTAAAAAGTATACAAAGATGTTCACGGGGCTATTCTTTATAATAGTTTTAAAAAATGAAAAACTAAAACAAAAAGGAAATGGTTAAATAAATTGTGGTATGGAGCCTCAGACAAATATTATAAAGCCATTAAAATAATGTTTATAAAGCAATTATAACAACATGGAAAAATGCTTTTGTTATATTAAGGAAAAACCTGGATACTAGAATGAAGCGTTAAAAAATAAACTTTGCATAGAAAAGACAGAAAACATTTCACAATATCAGTTACACTGAATGGTAGAGAGTGAACTTTTCCCTTTTTTTCTGTCGTTTCCAAATATTTTACACATGATTATTACTTTTACAATGGAAAAAAACCACAAAATTGTTTGTTTTAAATCATGCATCTGTTTCCCCCATTTTTTTTTTTTTTTTAACAAACTGCACATTCCTAAAGTTGTGATGATCACTTACCGGTATGCATAGATGTTGTGGGTGGCACTAGCAATTTTCTTATTCTCATACAATTTGGCAAGAACCATTTTCACCTTAAAAGCAGAAACAATATAAATAAACTGATATATATATTTTTTATTTGCTCTGTAAATGCTAAAAAAAGTCTTAAAGCATATTGATATACATAGTGTTGAACCGAAATTAACAAACAGTTATTTAAAGAATCAACTACATTTTGAAAAAGCCATTTCCAAAGTTTTCTCCTCATTTTAGGGGCAAAAATTGAATTACTCTAATTGGTACAAAAAAATAGTCCTAGAATTTTTGAGCACCAGTTTTCAACAAGTATCTGCGCAGTAACCATGTTCAAGGTACTTGCACATAAGAAATCTTCCCCATACTGTAGAGAAAGTTAAGTGAGAATATGAGAATTTCTAGAAATGGCTCTGAAAATTTACCAGCGTGAGAGGTGCAGAGTAATGGTATGTTTCAAAACTTATGAAACCAAAACTCTCCCTGGAAGAAATAAGGTTCAGAGAGGACTAACAAGAGCCAGAACTTGAAAGATAAGTGACAATTCTGCATCAAAATGGAAGAGTAAGGTGGGGCAAGAAGTAGTCATTCCTTCAGAGGAAATAGCATGTACAAATGGACCAGATTTAGTAGGAAGAAATAAACAATGCTTAAGTTTAACTGGGGGCTTCCCTGATAGCTCAGTTGGTAAAGAATCCGCCTGTAATGCAGGAGACCCTGGTTCGATTCCTGGGTCGGGAAGATCTGCTGGAGAAGGGACAGGCTACCCACTCCAGTATTCCTGGGCTTCCCTTGTGGCTCAGCTGGCAAAGAATCTGCGTGCGATGGAGGAGATCTGGATTTGATCCCTGGATTGGAAAGATCCCCTGGAGAAGGGAAAGGCTACCCACTCCAGTATTCTGGCCTGGAGAATTCCATGGACTGTATAGCCCATGGGGTCACAAAGAGGCGGACATGACTGAGCAACTTTCTCTTTGGGCTTCCCTAATAGTTCAGCAGGTAAAGAATCCACCTGCAATGCAGAAGACCCCAGTTTGATTCCAAGGTCGGGAAGATCTGCTGGAGAAAGGATAGGCTACCCACTCAAGTATCCTTGGGCTTCCCTGTGGCTCAGCTGGTTAAGAATCTGCCTGCAATGCAGGAGACCTGGGTTCAATTCCTGGGTCATGAAGATCCCCTGAAGAAGGGAAAGGCTACCCACTGCAGTATTCTGGCCTGGAGAAATCCATGGACTGTATAGTCCATCGGTTCACAAAGAGTCAGACACAACCAAGTGACTCTCACTTAGTTGAACTGGAACTTCAGATAAACCACAATTTTTTAATTGTAAGTATGACCTATGCAATAATGTTTATCTGAAATTCCAATTTAGGTAGGTATCTTGGCAACCTTAGCAGGGACATAAAAGAGAAAGGTTCAGAAAGAGACCAACAGTTTTATGTAGCTCTGCCTTAAGAGTATGAATGTAATGACAGATGTATCAGGATGATTAAAGCAGGGTCATATCACAGTGACTTGTATAACCTGTTTGAATTTCTCCTTGTAGCCAAAGGAAATCAGCAAAGATTACTGAGTATGTGGGGGAAGAGTGACACGTGGTCAGTTCTTCCAGAAAAGTAGCTGGCAAGGGGCACAGATGAAACGAGGTAGGGAAGACTGAGTTAGAGACGGGGAGGCCAACTTGGATCAGAAATGATGCAATCTTGTGTTTCTCAGACTCAGATTCCTGATTAGTAAAATAAGGAGACACTGACCTCTAAGATTTATTTCAGCTCTCACAAATTATGATCCTGTAAGTCTAAGTGACTATAATCAGAAATGGAAAAGGGATCCAGGATGAAGAGATTCAGAATAGAATGTCTAAGGACTCTAGCAACATGATTATAAGTAATGGGCCAAGGGCAAAACAGGCTTTCTGAGAGAAAAGCCCAGAAGCTTACACCAGAAGCTCTTATCCTGACCACAAATCAATGAAGAAAAAACTTCCTCTTCCAGAGTCTAACAGAGAATGAAAAGGCAATGTGGTGCAAAAAATTATATTACTATATATAGGGCTTTAGAAGAACTTGGACAGAACAAAGGGAAGAAGACCGATGCTTACTCTAAGACTTATCTGGTTAATTTAACTTCATAGGTGTACTGAAATTGTCTCTTACATTGATAAAAGTTTAGGGTAGATTATAGCAGCAAGGAGAAAGAAAACAATTCTGCTGAAGAGATTAAGAAAGACAAAGACCTCTGAATACCATTTCTGACGGAGGAGTTTCCCAAATGATATCCTTTGGTGGTTATCAGGTCACCTAAAATCAGAAAGCTGAAAGGAAAAGGAATTCAGGTTGGAAAGACTGGGCTCAACCAGTCTGTCTACTGTCCCCCTACTTGGGTAACAACAAATCAGGCTAGGTTTTACAGAACTCCCATGTGATAGGACAAATGATTTTTTAACAAATAGGTAAGCATCATAATTTTCTTTACCACCACAATGGGTTTTTCTTCTTTGAAAATCCATTAGTTAAGTCCTAATCAGAGTCTGCATATAATTTTGAAAGCAGTGATCAACAGAAATAAATATTCTATGATTCCCAATAATTTGGGGGTAGAAAAATCAGCGAATAATTTTTATCTTGAATGAAAATTAAAAGCAAAAACAAATATATTATTTGCAAAACCATCTGCTTCAATTACTTTGGTAAAACACCATCAAAGTGAACTGTACACAGCAAATTTACCTGTTTGGGACAAACTACTGGAGCCAAGTGTGCCTGAAAAGTACTTCTTCGGTCTGTAATAGGAATGCCATGATCAATTGGAGGTAACTCTTCTATTTCTATAAATATAAAGAATTATGTTACTTTTTAAAATTCTTACATACAAATACTGAAAAACTGGCAAATGGTATAGTGGAGGGAGTTAGGAAAGAGATGTAAATTACATGGCCAATCAACTCAAATAACCCGTATTGGTTGTCTATTAAATTACAATTTTAAGTAAAATGTTCCCCTAATAATATCCTACATTAAGATAAAACTACTTGACTTATAAATGCTTTTCACCTGCTAAATGGTCACTCAGTGAAAATGGCAGGTTGGCATGCAAATCCTGGACTGTTTCAGTAGTATAAGTTGGCATAATATTTAACTTTTAAGAGTATAAAGAAGTCCTGAAACCAAAAAGATCAGCTAATATGGAGTATTTATTCATTTTACTGTTGATGGACTTCTGGGTCGGGAAACCTATGACTTTACTTTGTATAGCTGTAACATAATGTCTTCTGCTAATAAAACCATTCGTACTTCATAGGATTGAATTAAATATATCAATAGTACACCATACTGGTAGTCCATTGAGTACTTGATTTCCAGTTATTCTGCCCTTTAAACAAGCTTAGGAACAATTACCTTTTTTCCATTTCTACAAGTCAGTTTACCTTACAAGTGACAAAATACTTCAACTAATTGATATAAAAATCTTTCTGGAGCATTTTAAATAACTTGCCTCAAATCACTGCTCTGGTTTACTGCAGGACTAGGATAAGAAGCCAGGTTTATGGAGGATGTTTTACCTTCCCCCTAGGTGTGTTCTCTTTTTGAAAAGATTGTGACCACTGTACTGGTACACTACTAAGGTCAATATGAACTGGATGTGATTTATTATGACTCTGATTTTCACTCTTGTTAAGAATGAATCTTCATTCTCTAAAGAAATCCTATGCCAAATCCACAGATATGTAAATGAATAAAATGGGAGCTACTCAGAGTGAAGCAGGGGCAGGTATCCTGGGTCTTCTCCCTCTACTTATTCACTTCTTTGTCCTTTTTCTTCCACTAACTCTGAGACAATATGCGAGAACTTTAAATTTTCATTCACTGTTTAAGAGGTACTATATCATAGCAGAGGAAACTCCCCATCTTCAAAGAAAATGAACATTCTCTCTGGTCTATAATGTTTTTCTAAGACACTTGAGGAACTGACAATATCATTCAACATTCTAAAATATTAAGATGGAACATACTTTCTGATAGAAACACAGAGCTAATTTAACACAGCAACCTATTCATAAGTTGAACACTACTCGATTATGGAACAAATTTGTTTGAGCAAAAACTAAAATCTTAAAAGCATTTCACTAGCTTTAATTCAGTGGTTGCACCTCCAATGACTGTATTTATATTTGTTAGCACAGACTAAAATTTAACTCTGAGCCATCAGTAGATCTAAGATTTTAAAATAAAAATAAAATAAAATAAAAATATAAAAACAGGATATGAATTGAAAACATTAACACAGCTTTCTTAGTTTCAATTTCTCCCACCACGAATTCAAAACTCTAACAAGCAAAAAAAAAAAAAAGAAAAGAAAAACTAAATTTCTATTTTTGTCCTCACTATTCTGATAGACTTAGAAAACACCAAAATGACCAAGAGGCAGGAAAAATATAACCCAGTTCTCTGTAAATTAATAAGAATTCCTTAAAATGTGACAGTTTACTACATTTCTATACCATTCCAAAAACAAATCCTAGTGCTACCACCCCGTGCTGTGCTGCATCACTCAGCTGTGTCTGACTCTTTGTGACTCCACAGACTGTAAGCACGCCAGGCTCCTCTGTACATGGGAATTTTCTAGGCAAGAGTACAAGGGTGCCTTGCCATGCCCTCCTCCAGGCGATCTTCCCAACCCAGGGATTGAAACCAGGTCTCCCGCATTGCAGGCGGACTCTACCGCCTGGGCCACCAGAGAAGCCCAAGGATACTGGAGTGGATAGCCTATCCTTTCTCCAGGGTATCTTCCCAACCCAGGAATCGAACTGAGGTCTCCTGCATTGCAGGCGGATTCTTCACCAGTTGAGCTACCAGGGAAGCCACATCACTACTGTCCTCAAAATAAACTAGTAACATTCACTATACCTGTTCGATTTTCACTGACATCAAAATCCAAAGTTTTAACTTGATTTTCTGGTTGACATGCTAAAACAAGATCATCTTCACATTCAACATCTTCCTCTTCAGTTTTCTTCTTTACGTCTGGGCCTATGTGGATATGAGACATTATGAGTGATCATAAGACAGTAAGAAATGACACTTAAAAAACTTTTCAGTCTCGATCTCTAAACATCAGTCTTCAACAGAAGGAACCAGTGTTCCTGCAAGTGGTTGTCTGTCTCCAGGGTTGGGACAAGGAAAATGTAAGATGAGCTGGGACATCTTGTGATTGCAGAGAGTAAAGGAATGTTCAGAAAAAGATGGGAGCTTATAAAAAGAACACAGGAGCCCATCTGCGAGCACTCTGAAAGGCCAAACCGGGAACAATTTGAGCGACAAAATAAACACAGTATGGAATTTTAGCTCACTAAATAAAATGAGTTCATTCTCATGTAAATAATCAAATAAATGTGGAGAAGAGATATCTTGTTTTCACAATGTAATTCCAATTAACCATAGCAAGAATGAAAGAAAGAAGTGAGAATCACCATATTGTTACAACACCATATTGTTTATAAATATTGTTGGTAAGATACACTAATAGATACTAAAATCAGGGGGAGGGGGGATGAAAATTTGAAGAAGGATAGGGTATGAGCACAGCCTCACAGTATCTCCCCCAAGACACTTATCAACGGTGATAATTTTATATGACAACCTAGATAGACCATGGTACACAGATACTTGGTCAAACACTATTCTACATATTTCTGCAAAGGTATTTCTTAGACAGAATTCACATTCCAAGCAGTTGACTTTGGGTAAAGCAGACTGCCCTTCACAATGCAAGTGAGACTCATCCAGTTAAAGTCTTTTTTTTTTTTTTTCAGGTAAGGTCTTAAAAGAAAAAGGACTGACCTCCCGAGACAAGGAGGGAATTCTGCCAACATACAGCTTTCACAGCCTTGAGTTTCAGTATCATTTCTTCTCTAGGTCTCCAGGCTGTCAGCCTACCTTGCAGATTTTGGACTTCCAAGCCTCCATAATTTTGTGAGCCAATTCCTTAAAATCAACCAATCAACCTCTCCCTCTGTCCCCAACTTTTCCTTCCCCCACCTCTCTCTATAAATGCTGAGTTGGCCAAAAAGTTCATTCAGGTTTTTCTATCCCATCTTACGGAAACCCCAAACAAACTTTTTGACCAACCCAATACATAGATACATACACACACACATACATACATACATAAGACACACACGTTTTATTAGTCTGTTTCTCTGGAGAACTTGATTAATATAGTAACTTTATAGTGGAGTCATTTCACAGGTACCCCCTTAACCAAGGGATCAAGGTAAATATCACCAATAACAAAGCATATTGATATCATTAGCTCCTTGATATAGTACATACACTATGAAGGACACAATATCATTTCTGTCATATTTTTTGCCAAAATGCCTAGTCTTACTCCAATCATGAGAAAACAATGGACAAACTCAAGGTCATGAAAGGTAATAAAAGTCAAAGAAAGAACGGGGAAGATAATAAAAGTCAAAGAAAGAACGGGGAACTATTTATAGACTAAAGGGGAGTAAGGAGAAAAAATGCAACAAAGAATCCCAGACCAGATCCTAGAACAGCAGAAAGAACACTAGTGAAAATATTATTATTATATTCACCGATGTTTGCTTTCTGTTCTTGATAATTATACTATGGTTATGTAAGATGTTACTCAGGGAAGCAGAGTGAGGGATACAGTAGTTATTTCTACTATTTTTGCAAATTTTCTGTAAGTCTAAAATTAGTTCAGAATTTTTTTAAAGTATAAATAGTTGTAAATAACTACTTCAAGATTTAATACTTCTGCAGTAGAAAAAATAAAATAATAAAGAATAAATACATACTGAAGATTAGTAGTAAAATAAAAATAAATTACTTGTCAAGTGGGTGCCCTGGAGAAGAAAATTTTCATGAGATATCCTGAACACTTCCATTTTAATATGAAGTCTAGAAAATTTTTTATTAAAAAATTCCAAAGAAAATTTTTGAAAATTATAAATTATACAACCTAAATCAGTAACTCAAAAAACTGAAGTGTGGTGAAACTAAATTATAGATATAGGTGGGAAAGGGAAAACACCATATTAAAATCAACAATTTAAAAGCCTTCCTGAGAGCTGAGTGATCCCAAAGTCCTGGAGTTCTAAATTTCTACTGGTATACATAACACTTCTGCAATTATCCCACACTCTAGAATGGTGGATTGGCAAAAATTGATTTTGAGACCACTCTTCTCAGATGCCCTGAAATGCCACAAAATCAGAACATGAATCTTAAAAAGTCAAGGAAAACACTTCAAAAAATACTGTCCCATGATCAGAATATCTTCAGACCATTTATCTCTGATTTTAATGGAAGCAGTAAAAATACTTCTATAGAAAAACTGTAAAATGCTCCGAAAAAATATGTACTTCTATCAACTTTAAATGTATACTGATTTTAGTAAAGGAATCCTCAATAACTGGTTTCCTGTAAATAACCTTCTAAAAATTAGTAAATAGACTATTGAATTGTTGTTCTTTAATCCTTCTTCTCCCCAAACTGAAAATAATTCTATCAGTGATAACAATAAAACTCTATTTGGAAATAAAATCATACTCAGTGATTTTCCTAAAAGGCTTTTGTAGTAACTGAAAGCAAAGACTGGCAAAGCAAACAGAAAACATTAAGAAACTTCTATGTTGTTATATACTCATGATTCAATGAAAGAATAATAATAGAGCAAAATATTAATTTTCAAATGTTCTGAAATTAGATAGTGGTGATGGCTGCACAACTTTGGAATCTACTAAAAACCACTGAATATACACTTTAAAAGGTGAATGATCATAGTATGTGAATTCTATCTTGATTTAAAAATCAATTTTCAAAGTCACTTTTTATACTCTAAATATTGGTCAATGTGTTTTCCAAAGTTCTTTTTCTATAGATATTACATTCATTTGAAGCTAATGTCTAACTTATATCAATAATGCATGAAGAATGTTACATGGTTGATATTGCCATACAAAGCAAAGGTTTTTGGGCAAAGTTCTTTAACCATAAAATTCTATCTCTGTAAGAGCTTATAGTAATCTGAAACCAAAGAGGCTACACTTTATTGAAAGAAATAACCATACTTACATGAGTAAAGAACTTTTCAGAGAATATATTTTATTATGTAAAACCAAAAAACAGCACATAGATCTTTATTAAAAGTTTCAATGAGAATATATACATGAAAATTTAGTTACTATAAATTAAAAGAGCAATGATAATGTTTTTCAAACCTACCTGGTTCTGTCATCTGAGATTTTTGTATTAGGACATCTCTTATTTTCTCCACCCACAGGTAAAGAATACTTTCACCAATATTCTGGCTAAACAAAATTCAAGGGAAAAACTGTTATTAAAAAATTCCTTCTCAAATTCAAGACAATATAGACATGTTTATACTCTAAGAAATTAAATTATATCTAGCCATGTGTTTTCTTTTTTTCTTTCTGCCTTGCTGTGCAGCTTGTGGGATCTTAGTTCCCCAACCAGGGACTGAACCAGGCCCTTGTAGTGATAGCTCCAAATCTTAACCATTGGACCGCCAGGGAATTCCCTAGCCATGCCTTTTAAAAAGAAATTTATAAAAACATGAGATTTACTAACATTTGTAGATGAATATTTAATACATCAATATTAAAAATCCCAAATGGCTCCCAAATTAACATTGCTTACTTAAAATAAGTAGAAGAGCTACAACCAAAGAGGGGAAAGAGAATTTCTGAACTTGAACGGAATTAAGATAGATGTAAATGTGATTTTGTTTCTGTCAGTGAATATAATTGTAGTATTGATGCCCAGTCATTGCCTGCTTTCCTAAACTTTTTGAACAATTTCAAACCACTTATTTCGTATACTTATTTCAACAATTAAGAATACAAAGCATTTGAGAAACTCCCCAAGAAAATCAATTTACAAGACTAAAAGACAAGCAATGCAAAGCTTTAGATTCTTATTTTGTTTTCGACATAATATTCTATTGCCCAAATTCATTTCGGTTCCAAAGAGCTGTCTAGCTGCATCAGATAATTAAATACATCTCAAAGGCTCATTGAGAAAAAGAACAAGTCATAGTTCATTTCCACAGAGTTATGTTAAATGATGGCAACAGCAATAAAATAAAGGCCCAAGTGTCTATTTTTTAGGGAATGATACTAATTTTAGATGTGTTAATATGCGTGTTAAAGGAACAAACCAAACCACTTCATAACACCTTAGCCCTTCCTCTAACAGTTGCTCTTGAAACCATTATCTCTCTTTATCACCACTCATCAGCACCCAAAGGAAGCTTTCAAAACAAGCATACAGAAGAAAACAACACTGTTTTCAAATAATTCTGTACCCTCAAACACTCCCATCCCACCCGTAACTCCTGAGTACTGAAACGACCCTCTGTGCTCTCTGGCAACCTGTCTTAGAGAAGGCAAAAGTCAACTGGAAAAGTTTTAAAAATTATCAATGTTGGTTGAGTTTCTTTTAAACAATTCCTACTCCCTTCCTCTCCCCTCCATAAAAGATTCAGAGGTACAGAGACAGAGAAAGGTAAAATGTATTGAATATATACTAAGCCCAAAGTACATGATATATTGATATAGCAACACATTAATGCTCATAATTTTCTAATAGAGTAGGCTTTATTTTTCCATTGTACAGATGAGAAAGCAGACCTGGAGAGAGCAATTAACTTGTCTAAGACAGTCTTATAAGCAATAAGAAGTCCAGAGCGAGAATGTGAATGCAGACTTACTCCAGAGCTCAGGCGGCCCACATCACTTTGCTCTCCTAGCAAGCAGCTGTGCCTTTAGGCAAGTAAGACACTTGAACTGCCTCAGTTTCCCCACCTACAAAACAGATTTACAGCATCTTGTCTTACTTTACAAAAGCAGTCTCTTTTCAAGTGGAGCTGTCTTAATTCACTCAGCAGATCTGTAAGGGCCTCGCCTACACACCAAGCACGATGTGCAACCCTGAGGGTATAGCAGTGAATGAGAAAACTGGGTCCCCCGTCCCAGTGCTTGCAATTATTGTTCTTAAAAATGTATGCTTTTATATATAATTCTTTCCATCTCCTAACCCCATTCTACTGAATTCATCACATCATCATCATCATCACTAAAGGTAGTAGCACTAATATCTAGTTTTTATTGAAAGCCTACTATATATAAGATGTAGAAAATGCTTGGTTACTTCACTTAATCTTTACAGCCCCCTTTGAGACAGGAAAATAATCCCTCTGTGAATACATATTCACATTCAGATTTGTTATTTTTGTTAGGGGACTTTGGGGGGAAGGGGCGGTGGAAAATGCCTTGGAAGAATTTCTGCAGTTAATAACTAATTTTTCCAAATAATAAGGAAGACATTAAACCTTAACTCCAAATTTCCTCTCCTCTAGCCCATGGCTTCCTGAAGAACAATATACAACAGCACTCCATCTTACATCATTTATTGACTGCTTCCTTCATCCCTAGTATTTAACTAGATTTACTGACATCCAGTTTAAGGAATTTGTGGTAGATGTGAAAGGTTTCCTGACGAAAATGAAAATCCTTTCCCTTAGACCCCCAAACTCTATCACTGAAGGTGGTTTGGGCGGTGTCACTGTTCCTGCTGTTCTGTGTTTTCTCTCACGACAGTGGTTTGTAAACCCCACCCCCCTTTATTTAAAGTACAGTTGATTATTCGTATCTTTTAACTACAAACTAGGATTTGGTGATTTTCAAACTTTCGCCTTCACTGTAATGAAATCTCTCACAGAACCAAAAACAAATCAAAACAGACAAAATCTGCAATCTTCCCTCCTGTGCCCTTCTTTTCCCGCACCCCAGTGGTCCTGGAGGAAGTTTGCTGAATCCTAAAAATCGGTGCAAAATCTGAGAATACTCATTATATGGTGAGATGCTAAGCTTTTATTTACGAAATTGTTATGGTATAGTAGCTGAATATAAAAAGTCTAGAACAAATTTGTTTCAAATTGAATAAAAGATCAACTTGGATTAAAAACCGGTATTTTAGTAGAGACATAACTGTGATTAAATATACTTAAATAACTATAATCCAATGCAGAACAATCAAAACAAAGTCAAGTTACTTGTGACTCTCATTTTACCCGCAGCTCTAATTTTCATACCTTTAATCCTCCGGTATTTATATTTGTTATTTAACAGTAAAGATATTCACTAAAATGTACTACAAAGTTGCATGACCTCAAACAAATCACTCGATCTGAGTTTCCATCATCTCATTTTCAAAATGACAAAACTAGATGAGATGACTCTTTTGACAAGAACAACAAAAACGACAGCTGCTATTATACAGTGCTAAAATATATTACATGGATTATGTCACTTAATCCTCACAATGATATTACTCTATTATCCTCATTTTACAGATGAGAAAGAGGTCACATTATTTCAAAAACTGACCCCAGAAGCCCGCCCAAGACACCCTTAACATCAGCTTGATTAAACTTCAGATAGGCAGAGCTTCCTGACTCTAGGCCCTGACTTCTCTGTTCTTAGAGCATTTTCTTTAGAGAACCTGTCATTATGAATTCTTCTTTAGCTCCTTTGGGATTATGGGTATCTTTTTAGAAGCTATGGCAGCTTGAGAACCAAGGAGTGTCTTTCTCAAGGACCTGGGAGCCATTCTTCTGAAATGCAGTCATGAAGGAAGAAGGCGCCCTGCTGCCCAGTCTCTGTTGGAAGGAGCATCTACTGACGAGCCACAATCTGCACACACAGATGGCCTGACCACGGAGAAACACTCGTGCAACCTCAGGAAGAAACTTAATGGGCTGGACACTCTCTGATCAACCTCCCCCAAGCATTCCCCAGTACTTTTCTACAGCTTATCCCAGCCCTCAAAAACCTTGCTGCCTTTTGTTTCAGCCAGCTGAGTTCAGACTGTGTTCTGCCTCTCTCCCTTGTTACAAGTCTTGGAGAGTATTCCTCGCCTATTTAACTTGGTCTGGTGCACTTTCTGCTTTGACAAGCCTCATTCTCTAAGTTCCAAATCTAAGACTTCATGTGATACATCAAACTGTGAAGAGCTGTGGGAAATTAATCATTTTCTTAGATTTAAAAGTAAATATTGTTGAAATGAACAATCATAAATTCAAATTTTTTAAAATTTTAATCTTTTTCACTTTTCTATTAATACCAAGTGGTATAATGTTTGAAATATTTTTTAAACCTGTCATTTACCTTTTGTTTTATAAAAATCATTATTTTCATATATTCAAAATATCCATGTTTAAAATGCAAAATGTTTAAACAAAAAATAAGGTATGATAAGCAAATAACTCTACATCTACCCAATCACCAAATTCTAGTTTATGCTCTTAAATATTCCTCTAACTGACCATTCTTCTCCCCTGCATTCTTGTTGCCTCAATGAAGATCTCCCGTCTCCCTCCTAGTTATTGACTGCTACTCCGATGGAGTCCTTTCCTTCAGACTCTTCATCGCCTACCCTCCACACTGCCACACGGATCTGATTACATCACTCCCCTGCCTAAAATGCCTGGAGCCTACAAGATAATGTCCAAGCTCCTTACCCCAGCTTACAGGTTCCTTCTTCTTACACCTATATCAACTCCTATCCCCAGCATATCAGACTACTTGCTGAACTCTGCAGTTCCTTCTATCTGAAAATCTCTCCCTTTCTGATTATCTGCCAAGCACCACACCCAAAGGTCACCTTCACAATGGAACCCTCCTTTACAACCTCACCACATGCCCAGAAACCTCTAAAACAGTTTTGGTACAAAACTCTCAGCAATTATGTCACTATAGTGTATTGGTACACATCTATCTTCATTCTTAAATTCCAAACTACTAACAGAGTGCTAGCATATAGAAAATACTTATAAAATGTTTACTGGACAAGACTGTTAGCTTTCAGACTTCTTCCCTCCTTGCATAAAAGAAAACATAGTTCACCTACTTATCTAGGCAAAAAAATATTTCAGCAGTCAAAATGATGCTAAATAAATATGAAAATCTTGATAATGTTACAATATTTAGAACATAATGAAACTATAAACATTAAGGACTATATTTATACATTTAAAATGTTTACTTTTCAATGACCAGTAGCATTTCACTTGTTGCCCCCTGCAGGGATTTTATGGAAAAATATCATTAAAAGTTGTCACACACAACTTTAAAAACAAAATCTACATTTCTACCTAGACCACATGTGTGAAAAGAATACTATTGGACTGGGGTTATTTTCAAGTGCTTTCAATAAAACAAGATGGGATGAACCATATCCTATCTTCAAAACAAACTGCTTTGTTATTTCTGATCCTTCCTAATTCTCTAATAGCTCAAGAGAACTAGCTAAGGAGAACAGCAAGTTATGCCCTATAGGACACTATCTCTTAATAAAGGGGTCACTTTGGGGTAGAAACAAGGCAGATGGGAAACCATTTCAGAGTGCATGACACTGTGCAAAATAGAAGAAAAATCTCAATGATGAATATGACTTAACAGGATGGAAGGCAAGTGTGGGAAGATTTTCCAAGAAGAGGAAGTGTTCAACACCATCAAAAGTTACAGAGGCCAAATAAGATAACAACTGAAAAATGATCATAAGATGCACAATTACGACATCCTTGGTGAGCAAATCTGCAGTGTTATTTATCTTATTCTACTTTAGGGGGTACACTGGTAAATGGGCATAAATAAAAGATTACAGAAAGAAGTTTTTTGGGGGCACAAAAGTTGGAATGACCAGTAAGATCATGGACAGAAAACATTTCATTGAGAAAACATGTAATATCTATATTTTGAGGATGATGGAATCACTAAATGGGAGCATCTCCCATTGATATCTCCAGTTCTAGGTTACTTCTTGAGTCAAATGTAAACCTAGGGACTCAAGGAAGACCACACTACCTCTTGGTAGGAACCAACAGAATCAATTCCATGAAGACTTAGCATTTTTAAATTTAATATTCTGTGAGGAAAAGAAACCTGGCATAGACACAAAGTGGGTTTTCTCACTGTGCCAGATGGGGAGGCCACCTAGAGCATGTAAGACAATCCTTATCAGTTCCTGGATTACAGTAAAACTGATATTTCAGAACATTGTTTGTTGTACTAAATTAATGTATCTCAATACGATTCACCCAAATCACAGAAACATCTCCTCTGGACTATTGCACAGCCTCCTAATTGACATCCCAAATGCAGTTGCTCCCTTCCAGTCAGTTCTCCACCCAGACACAGAACGGGGTTTTCAAAATGAAAATCTCACCACAGCATCATACCACTTCTCAGCTCTTCTTGGCTTCCCATGGGTCTCAGGACAAAGACAGACGCTCAACCTGGCCTACAGAACTCTCCATAACTTCCCCTGCTTACCTCACCAGGTTCCTTTCCCACCCTGCTCCCCTTTCCCCCAACACCCCCTCCTTATACCACCATTATTTTGTGTCTTCATATGTTCCAAACTCCTTGACACAGAGCCTCTGCACATGCTGTGGCCTTTCATTGGAGTTCTTTTCATTTAAGTAACTCAGCTCCTAAGTCAAACAAGTCACCCCTCACCTACTCGGGCAGGTCTTATTTCAAACTCAGGCAGTACTACACATCAATATCCTTCTTTCATGAAATTTATCACAGCTGCAGTTTGACATTCATTTTTATTAGTTATGAGTAATATCTCCCCTACCAGCAATTCTAAATGCTATGAAAACTGGGACCATTTCTGTTTTTGCTCATTATATATATCCAGGATCTAGTATAATACCTGCTATGTAGTATCTGCTGAATGAATGAGTGAAAAATACAGTATACTATCAATAGATTCTCAGTCCTATGGCCTAATACAAGAACATTACCATTAACAGTACAGGTAGTTTAAAGAATAATTATGCTTAGGATTCTGCTGTTACCAGTTTCATTCAACATAGCCTATGAAAATATCAAAATAAGAACAGTGTCTCTGAATTTACTTTCACAGCTAGCTAAGTGTTTTTATAGCTATTAGTTCTAAATAATACTTTTGTTTTTGTTTCTAAATAGATTTATATCAAATGTATATATAAAATTATATAACTAATCTTTCAAGGATTCTTCAACTGGATTCTTTTTGTTAATGGAAAGCAGCTTAACAAAAAGTTTACAAAAGGGCCTAACATATAACAGTTCCAACAAAGCCCATAACAGAGTCACTAACAGCATTGTCTTTAATCATCCATTACTTACATGTATATTTCCTCAAGGCTATTTGATAAATCTGCCCGTTCTTGCCCTTTAAGCCAAGGAGCACTAAGATTAAATAAAACAAAACAAAGATGATTATGCAAAGACTGTGTTTATATCACAAAGAAAAAACACTGATTTAATCACAAACTGATTTTTAAGTTTTAAAATTTTTCTACTTTGATCAAAATATTATTTTATGTTGTATAAATCTGTACAGTTCTAAAAAGGTTTCATTTGCATTAACTCATTTAGTCCTCCCAGGAAACCATGATGACACCAACACCATCATTATTCAATTAAAATATAGTTTAAAAGATGGGGGAGTGCATAAGATACCATAAAATCTGCCCAAGTTTACCTAAGTGGCAGAATATGTTTCAGAATCTAAATTTCCAGATTCACAGTATTTGCCACACAACCAGAGCTCCCAATTTTTTCTAACTGATGTCCCAAAAAACAACTCTAACAAGTAAGTCAATTGCCACATGACTGTAAATCAACTTTTTCTGAAAAGAGCACTTGTGTTTGCAAGCTTTCTATAGTCATATCCTTCATTTTCAATGAATAAAAATGAAAAATTACAGAACCAGGAGTGATAGCAAACTTTACTGTTGTGGTTTTAAAACACTCATACAAAAGATAATTTAAAAAATAAAATATACAAAAAATGAAACAAAAAGATAATCCCACTGGTAAGTAAAAATGTTAATAAATGAGATTTAACACAGTTCTATCTGAACAGATTTATACAGCTTAGTAGGTCAAGCAGGCAGGGTGATCAAAGGTTAATTGCAGTCTACAGGTCATGACTCAGTAAGACTACACTCTGGCTACTGAGAAGATGGTTCCTCAACAACAAGGGCAAGGTAAGTACCACAAGCACCATGGGCAATGCCTGGAAGGAGGTTCTCTTATGCAGAGCCATGTCAAGGAACTGGGGAGGTCACGGGAAACAGGTTAGGAGTGACTCTACAGACCAAGGTTTCTAGATTACTAGATTGTCTAACGAGGAAGATTTCCTTTCCCACCTCTAACGACATTCTGGAGCTATTTTATCCCCTATGAATCCCATAATTCTGTAGCTATTTTATTCCCTATGAATCCCTTGATTCTTTTATACTAAGTGGCAAACATCAGTGTGTTTTTATATAATTTAATTTTTAAATGCAAATACTCTACATTAAGTCCAACGTGTTTTTAATTTCTATATACATTTTGACAAGGTAGTCTATATAAACACAACGTATAGTACAATCTTTGCAAAGTACAACTTTTTATAAAAATATAAATGTAGAAATATAGCTTACTTCAGTTGATAAATAGGTGGAGCTGTACCTGGGTATTCATTTGGTAGCATCACCTACAAAGCAGTTTAAAAACAAACCTGCTTATACTTCATCGTGGTTCAAAAACAACAACATTCATAAAGCCAGTCACCAGACAGATTTCTAACTTGCCAAACTAAAACACCTTAAATATGTTGCTTCTACCTTAAATATGTTGCTAGAGTTAGTTGCTCAGTCATGTCCAACTCTTTGCAACCCCATGAACTGTAGCCCACCAAGTTCCTCTGCCCATGGAATTCTCCAGGCAAGAATACTGGAGTGGGTTGCCATTCCCTTCTCTAGGGTAAATATGTTGTTAAGATGATGCCAACTTTTTAAGGAGATTATTTGCAGAGAAAGTATAAAAGCAATTAAAATTAGAAAAAGTGGGGTCGACAAAGACAAAAGGGAAACTGAAATAGGGTCGTAATACCCCAACCCCAGATGACGAGGGTGGCATTATAACATGTTCCAGATAATTTTCTTAAGAAATTAAAAAAAAAAATCCTACCAAATACTATTAAATAGCTAACACTTACTAGAAAACCATGCATGTTTCTTTTGAAATCATTTTTTTAATGAAAAAAATGAAAAAAAAATTAATTTTTAAAAAAAAAAACAATTAATAACAAAAAAAAGAATACTGATAAAAACTTAATTTGGCATCTTTTATGCTGGAAGTACAGACAGTCACCAAAGAATAAGCATTAAACACAAAGCCATAACTGATCATTTCATGTACGTATCCTAACCACAACTGACTCCCAATTAACAAAGAAATGAGTTATCTACTCTATGAACCATCTAAATTACTAATCTATTCTTTCTTGGAAAATGTTAGCCATCTTCCCAGGTTTATACCCTCTTCTACTAAACGGAAAAGATAATGAAAGGAAATGAAACTCGAGTCTGCCAAAGGTATGTGAAGAACACTTAAATAACTGGCAGAGGAAAGACCGATATTATCAATGAAAGCATTACTGGAGAGTGACCTGAGATGTAACTACCCATACATTTGGATCATCAGTTGTTAACAAAAGTCAGCAACAAAATGACAAATCAGAAAAGTCACACGACAATAATTAGAGGAATACAACAGTAGTCAATAATACAAAGTCAATACTGTAACTGGAAAACGGCTGTAGATGAAGAGGGAAAAATACCTGTAAGCAAAGTGTCCACTTGGGGTCATCTATATCGTCGCTAATTCGAATACAAAATATTTTGGCACAGTCATCAATGACACACCATTCCTCGCCATATATAGCAGCCATTGCTTCAATTTCCTCATTCTGAAAGAGGTTGATGAAGGGGAAAAGTCAAAAATTTTTTGACTACCCTAAAAAACCTGAGTCTTCCTTACTGCTTTATAAGGTATCTGCATTTAACATAACCATCTTGGGTGAAGGAGCCCTAAAGGAAGGACACCAAACATTTTCAGCAACGGGTCAAAATGTCCTACTCCCTGGGTACCAGACTCTATAGCAACGATGGGCACCAACCTTGCTACTACATCCCTGTGCTTTTGACCACTACTGAGCCAAAATATATATGCACTCCTATACGCTGCATGAGGTTCACAAGTGAAAGGATGAACGTATCTTCTCTGCTCCACCTTCTCTTTTTAACAGGTAACGCCTCCCACCCGCCCCCCAATCCCTGGACCACTGCTACCTATTATATCTGCCCTAATGTTACTACTGCCTAGCTCCTGCTTTGTTTTGTTTTGAATTTGGCCACGAGGCTGGGTGGTTGATGGGGTTTTTGGTAATTAAATCCTCGAAACGTTTCAGAAATTACTCTTTGGGTTTCAGGTTAAGAATAAAACCGGATCTAAAGGTAAAAATAGGGAGCAACGGATACTTCCAACTTTGTAGGATCTCATTTTGTCCTTAGGGCCCATTAGGAAAAGCTTCAATAGCGCCCACGTGAGCCACGCGCTAGGGGTAAGCTCAAGCCCAAGAGCATAAGATCTACGGGTCCTCAGGGGACTCCAGGGTCCGTGTTATTATTGCCCCTTTTGCAAACGCAGGAACTGGGGTCTTAAGTGGCCAGTCCAAGGTCACCCGGCAGAGACAGGCCGGGGAGCAGAACCCTGATCTCTGCCTCCCGCCCGGAGCTGCTGAGTCGCGTGCTGATGGTTGACGATGGCACCGTCCAAGGCATGTCCAGCGCGCCGACGCCCGGGAGCCGCCGGCCCGAGAGATGGGCTGAGATCGAGCGCCGGGAAAATGGGACGCAGCTGAGCGAATGGCGCAGCCTCAGCCCCTGGCGGTGCGGGCGAAACCGGGGGTGGCCCCGGGCAGAAGCCCCCTCGGCCGAGGAGGCCTGGGGCGGCGAGACGAGGCCGAGACGAGCCTGGAGGTCGGCGCCCAGCCGGGGCCTCACCTGCCTCTGGTCGCTGCCTGCATCCCCCTCAGCCATGTGGCCCCGGGAGCTGCCGGTCGGCCACCGCCTGCCCAGGTCCGGAGCTCGGGGGCGGGGCGCTGCGGCAGAGAGCTGGGAGCGGGCTGCAGCGAGACCCGACCCGGAACCGCAACCCCGCCACGCCGCGCGGCTCGCCTCTGCTTCCGGGTTGCGGGCCAGGTGGGGCTGGGGGCTGTCACGCTAGGGCTTCCTCGCGCCAGTCTCTCCCCACCTCTTCCGCCGGGCCTCAGGGACGCAGTCCCTCTCAAGCAGCGGCAGGAGTCCGCTTGGAATTTGCTCCTGGACTGCCGGGGCTGGGGGCTTCTGCTCGCGCACGGCGCCGTCGGTGCCATCGAACCCCGCGGAGACTGGGTAGTCGGGTTCACCGCTGCGTCCCAGGAAGGGACTCACCACAAGAGACTCACTCACTCATAGCCCAAGTCTCATCTTTGCATTTTAAGCAGGGTAGTTTTGTTGTACGTGTTTTAAGATGTTTTTGTGACTTGAGCAAGGGTAAGTTTATGCGAAGAATTGACTCATTGGAAAAGACCCTGATGCTGGGAGGGATTGGGGGCAGGAGGAGAAGGGGATGGCAGAGGATGAGATGGCTGGATGGCATCACCGACTCGATGGGCATGAGTTTGAGTAAACTCCGGGAGTTGGTGATAGACAAGAAGGCCTGGCGTGCTGCGATTCATGGGGTCGCAAAGAGTCGGACACGACTGAGCGACTGAACTGAAAGTGTAATTTTCCCAAAACTGTAAAGCAGGAGAGGGCAGAAGGCAATTTTGAAAACCTTCTGAAAAACTTAGCACTCGCTGTTGTCTTGTGATAATTTTCTTGAGTGTCCTTGGACTGTTTTCCCCGGGAGCAACTTTTGCTGAAGACACTAGGATTTACCAGTCAACATAAAGGTCGTTGTTTCACTGTCCAAAAATTTGAATCTATTTGTGTCGTTTCTCCCCTGTCCCCAACGCATGCATTCCAGTATATTGAGATTGTGGCTAACATCTGTCACCTTACATGAGACACCTTAATCAAGTCCCTTAATGTCCTATTCGAGAGACAGTTTATCCCCTATTGCCTCACTTTCTTCACACACACACACACAAACTCAAAATATTGCATTTTTCCTCTCTCCTGTCTTCCCTAATCACAGGCATGTTTTATTTCCCTTTTAAAACACTTCTCTGAATCAGAATTCTGCAAAGAATTCCACCCGAATTAACTTTGACGGATCTTAGTATAAGTCTTGTGGATTTATTAATTCAACAGACATTTATTAGGTTCTTACTGTGCTAAACTTTGGAAATACAGATTTAGATGTGCATTGCCTTTAAGAAGCTAAAATGAGGGAGAACAAAAGTAAATTAGTATTTAAATGGGTGAGAATTACATTCTGTTAGTAGCACAAGGAAGGACGCACTACTGAATCCCTTCGCTGTTCTGAAACTATCACGATGTTTGTTAATCAGCTATGAATTAATAGAAATTTTAAGAAGTTTTTTTTTTTTTTAAAGGAAGAGTCATCTATTCTAATTTTATTGGGCTTCTCATTCCAGATGATGCTTGAAGTGAGTTACAGAAGAAGAGGTAAAGATTAGCTAATTGAAAAAGGAAGGAAATTGCGATGGAGAAAAAAGTATTGGCAGAAAAATCGTGGCCCATTTAAGAAGCATCATGCATTTCATTGCCTCTGACATCACATCTGTCAGCCTCTTCTTGTCATATGACTTGGATAATCCCTTTATGATTGTCTCCATAAATCTGCACATGTACACTCATTTTGGTTCCAAGAAAATGCCTGAAGGACTTGCCCTCTGTCATGTCAGTCACACCCCCTTCCTCCAGTTATTGGGTTTGGATAGTATGTTTTCCTTCACCTTCAATAGAAGCAGTTTTAAACTCCTCCTTCCAATCAGGTAGGGCCCCAAAGTTCATGTGCGACCAGTCCATCACGGTATTTTTCTTCTTGGTGAGGATTTGCCTGAAAGTTCCCTGAGGTTTGGGCTTCCCAAGTTGCGCTAGTGGCAAAGAACCCACCTGCCAATGCAGGAGACATAGATGATCCTTGGGTCAGGAAGATCCCCTGGAAGAGGGCAGGGAACCCACTCCAGTATTCTTGCCTGGAGAATCCCATGGCTAGAGGAAACTGGCAGGCTATCATCCCTAGGATGGCAAAGAGTTGGGGACTGAAGCAATGTAGCATGCACACACGCACTGTGAGGTTTGGCCACTGTGCATCTCTAGGTCATTTGAAGCTTTCTGCAGTTACCATCCTAATACTACCTAGATGACCATCTATTGTTAAACAGCTGTTTTTCTTCCTTCACTCTGAACTCTACTGATCTCTTAATGTCTTACAACTTCTGTTACAAAGAATAGTAACTGTCACCCTTAAAAAAGAAAAAAAAAAAAAGCCATAGAATCCTTTCTTTAGTGAAAGCTTATGTAAAACAGATTAGGTTGTTCTGCCTGAAATAGTGGTGCTGGGCCTTAAGTCCTAACTACCTAGCAACCTCCCTCCCAGTGGACCTGCAAAGACTTTCAACCCAGATTTTAAAACTATTGCATTAAAATGTAATAGAAAACAATGCACAGCACAATTTAACCTTCTAAATAAGGCATAGTATTAGTTTATCTAGTTTTTCATACATAGTACCTCTTTTCTTACTGTATACATCAACCCAGTCTATTTTACCTTCTGGAGATTGCACCCATGATTTTCTATTGATTCCTACTTCTTCATACCTAGAGTCTTTAAATCTTCTTTTGAGCTCAGATTCTAAATTGAAGTTACTTTTCCTGCCAGAGTGCACAAAACAAAAATATTTACAGCACCACTTTATGAAATGATTCATTTTCAAGGCATCAACTACTTTATGCAATATCCCATCACACTAGAAATGTTCCCTTGGTCTACATACAGAGGAAGTTAAAGTATGTCCTTATGAATACTAACATGATTGGAACAGTTTATTATAACTATTCCCACCTAAAAATGTATTTTAAGGGGCTTGAGATTAGGGATGCTGCAAATTGACATTGTGGCTGTGTCTATTTTATATTGCGAATAGGACCTCTCTAAGTTTGTTTTTGTTTTTTTTTTTTACTCTTCACATCATTTCCTGCAAAGAACCCTGAATAAGGTTCTAAACTCAAATATGCAAAGAGCACTTTGGAAAAAGAAGGAGGAAAATAATTACTGAAGTAATAAGTGTTGCAGACAACCTACATTTGCAGAAAGCAAGACTTTATAGGCAATTAAGTTGAAAAGGTTTTACTTAATAGGAACTTTGCGCAGTTAAGCAGTTGCTGAGAATGGACAGCAAATAACAGATTTGGATACATGTGGGGTCTCTACACCAGATCCTGCTGATTTCCCCATCCATTTACCTAAATGGCTGGTTACTGAACATCTTCCTCAAACTCAGTATGTTCAAAACTGAACTCAGTATCTTTCTCCCTAAATCTACTCCTCTGCCTGGCTTCCCTGTTTCCGTATTGGCAACCCCTGAACCCTGCATCAGACTTTCTCATGGCTCAGCCGGTGAGGAGCCTGGTTGCAATGCAGGAGACCCGGGTTTGATCCCTGGGTTGGGAAGATCCCCTGGACAAGGAAATGGCAACCCGTTCCAATATTCTTGACTGGAAAATCCCATGGACAGAGGAACCTTGCAGCCTACAGTTCATGGGGTCACTAAGAGTCAGACACAAGTGAGCATCAATAATTGGCCAAACCTGAAACCTGGGAGACATACCTTACAATTTTCACTGTCTTCATACACAGACAACAAGTTCTGATGATTCTGATTCCTTAATATCACTTACCTTCCTTATATTCTCCTGGTTTTTCTGATTCCATCTGGACCCTCTTTAAGTTACCCACCTCACATCTGGCAGAGGAATCCTTCAAAATGCACATGTATGATGTGTCTTTCCTCCCTGGAAATCCTTTATTTGCTCCCCATAGCTTCCATGGTAACACTTAAACACCCTAACATACAAGATGTGTTCCTGGCTACCTCTCTGATTTTGTTTCCTGCTGTTTTACCCAGACCAGCCTCAACTATTTTACTAAAGCTTTCTTAGATGAAAGAATTCTATGCATTTGGTGGGGGGGGGAGGGGTGAATGTGAAAACTGCTATTTTACACCTTAGAAACTGTGTGGGGTGTTAAGACATACAGAGTGAAAGTGTTACTCCCTCAGTCGTGTCCAACTCTTTGAGACCCATGGACGGTAGCCCATCCCTGGAATTCTCCAGGCAAGAATACTGGAGTGGGTTGCCATTTCCTCCTCCAGGGTATTTTCCTGACCCAGGGATAGAACCCGGGTCTCCTGCATTGCAGGCAGATTCTTTACCATCTGAGCCACCAGGGAAGATGTACAAAGAGACCAGTGAATGGAGTGAAGGAAGAAGACACATCTGTTTAACAATAGATGGACAGCTACATGGTATTAGGATAATAACTGCAGAAGTCTTCAGGTGATGTGGAGGCATGTGGCCAGATCCCTCAGAACTTGCACATAGAGGAGAAATACGATGACTGCCTGCACCAGAATTTCTATGTAGGGTGGACTTCAGAACCCAATATGATTGGAAGGAGGTGCTTAGAACTTTTTGCTTAAGATTAAGAAACATAAACTGTCCAAACTAAATACATGGAAGGAGAAGTAGTCATACTCAGGCCATAAAGGACCAAAGTGCTCTCTTAGTACCAAAATGAGTGCATACAGATAGAGAGATGTTGTGGAAATGATCATTAACAGGTTACATAAGCAATGTGACCAAAAGGGTTGACAGCTGTGATAACAGGAAGAGGAATGAGTTATTTGAATGGAAAAAACCTAACCTGGAAGAACATACATCTGATTGTAACTGAGATGCCTGTCACATCAGGCATGAGGAAAGAGGCCTGTGAACAGTTCTCCATAAACCTATTTCAGCCTACATCGATGGCTTGAATAGGGGTCTTCTAAATATTCTCTAGGACCTTGCTACTTAAGGTGAGGTCTGTGGACCAACAGCATCATGTTATCTAAGAGCTTGGTAGAAG